TATGCTAGGTCCTGTAGCGCTAGCTCCATCAAGCTAAAACACTTCAAACTAAAATGGTTAAACTTTACATTTAATCTTTTTATTTTGAACCAAAGGTGTTGAAATTTATGGAGACCCTAAAGAGACATGGAAGGAAAAAATAAAGTTTTCGAGATCCTGGCAAACTTTTGCGAGATCTCGCAAAAAATAAACTTTTGCGAGATCCCGCAATACTTTTGCGAGATTTTGCAAAAGTATTGCGGGATCTCGCAAAAGTATTGTGAAATCTTGCAAAAAATAAAGTTTTGCGAGATCCCGCAATACTTTTGCGAGATCTTGCAATACTTTTGCGAGATCCCGCAATACTTTTGCAAGATTTCGCAAAAGTATAGCAGGATCTCGCCAAAGTATTGCGAAATCTTGCAAAAAATAAACTTTTGCGAGATCCCGCAATACTTTTGCATTTTCAAACTCCTTTAGGGGCTCCGTAGAAATTGATGAGAATGTAGAAAACACAGGAGGTGATGAAGACGAGGAGGAACAAACGGAGGAAGAAGGGAGAGTTGGCGGAAGAAGCTGTTGCTAGGAGATGCTAACATAGATGGAGAGCTATGCTACTAAGAGCGCCAGGCTGTTTCTCGATTCACAAGAACGCGAGTACGGACTCGTGTTTTCGCCAGGTATGTTCTTGAGAAGAACACAGGAAAGTCTGGACTCTGGTAGAACGGGAGCACGCAGAACTAATATGGGTCAACTGGAGCAGAAGCGTACTGATGACATCACCACATTGGCTACTGCAGACAGGCTAACGTTAGGAAAAATCGGGAAAATTTGGGGGAAGAAACGCAGTGCATTGTCTAACATTTACACCAGTTAGAATAAATACAATTCAAAAAAGAAAAAAGAAAAGTTCTGGAAATGTTAGCTTTATCGCTACCCGATCCGTCCAGGAAGCACGATCCGTTCGATTTATATCCTGGTTTCCAAAAAATTTTTTATTATCGTGCTAAAATTAAGTATTTTTATCTTTAACTCGTGAACGAATGCTAATACACGTCTTTAAAAAAAGTTTTATGACTCAAAGGACTAGATTTATGTTTAAATCGAAAGCCGAAAGAGTTAGCTCCCGGAAGTAGCGTAGTATCCCATTTTATCAGAGTGATAAAACAGAAAGGATATTAAGACTTTTTAATTTTTTTAGGAAACACATTAGTACGCTTACTATTTTTGGTAAAGGAGAAACGTCATTTAGATCTTTTAACAAAATAAAATCGAGGGCGACACTACGCTAGGCTAACCGCACCATGACGTCACTGCTGGAAGATGGTAGGAGGGAGGGGTTACTATATTTGGGCAAAAATGGCCGCTCCCAAACTCAGTGATGGCGATGAAAATTATTAGTTTTATTTTTTTACTGATTAAATTCTCTAAATTGACTGAACTTCTCCTTTAAAACGGTTATGAAAGANTCAAAGGACTAGATTTATGTTTAAATCGAAAGCCGAAAGAGTTAGCTCCCGGAAGTAGCGTAGTATCCCATTTTATCAGAGTGATAAAACAGAAAGGATATTAAGACTTTTTAATTTTTTTAGGAAACACATTAGTACGCTTACTATTTTTGGTAAAGGAGAAACGTCATTTAGATCTTTTAACAAAATAAAATCGAGGGCGACACTACGCTAGGCTAACCGCACCATGACGTCACTGCTGGAAGATGGTAGGAGGGAGGGGTTACTATATTTGGGCAAAAATGGCCGCTCCCAAACTCAGTGATGGCGATGAAAATTATTAGTTTTATTTTTTTACTGATTAAATTCTCTAAATTGACTGAACTTCTCCTTTAAAACGGTTATGAAAGAGGTGGTCAGTGTTGGTCAGTGGGCGGAGCTAACGTTGATCCTGAGGTCTTAAAGCTTCCTTGTTTCCTCTTTAGTCCTCCAGTGTTCATGTGGTCAGAGACGTGGGTCTGGTTCTGTGTTTGCCACCCGGCCGTCCTTATTTTCAACACTTTATGGAAAACTTTGTAATCCACTGTAGGTAATATTGTTACACTAAACAAATGGAATAATCACTGAACTCGAATAAAGGTCAGAAAAAAATATATGAAAATTGATTTTTTTTTTTTAACAGGAGGTAATTCTGTTAGGGGACTGCAGTGTTGAAATGTCTGGGAACGCCTGAATTTGATTTAAAAATCCTAATAAAGATGTATTTAAACATTTAAATAAGAGAAAATCTGATTTGGGAAAAAAAAAATTTTGAAGGGAAAAACATTTTAAAAAAATGATTGTCTCCAGAAAATCTGCAAAAATAAAAGCTGTGATTTTGTGATGTCAAACACTGGCATGTCTGGTAGACCAGCCTCCCAAGGAAGGCAGGGATCACCATGGCGACAAATGACTTTGCAGCATATTTCTTTAGTCGGTTGTTGTTGTTGTTATGTTTAAATGTAAAATCAACCTTTGATCATTTCTGTCATTGGAGGAAAACGGGACGTTTCTGTGGCGCTCTGAGCCGCCAGCCTATCCGCTCCGTCACAAAGTTGGACTAAAGAACGCTCTCCGGCAGCTTCTGACTGGCTGTCTTTTTTCTAAAATTAGACGCAGCAATTTCCTCTTTCTGAACGCTGTGCCTGCCGCCCACATGCCCTCCGAGTTACCAGAGGAAGAAGCTGCCTTCAGACTTTCTAATTAGACCCAAGGAAAACTATTGATCCTCTCGTCTTCCTCTCGTTCCTCCAGAACAATCTACAGAAACCCATCATGTTTCAACATTAAATCAAACCACATATGATCCGCTGAGGCTTCATACCGGAGTCCTCTGCATCCTGATCCTCCACCACCCCTGCAGGGACCCCCATCTCCATGCACTTCTTACTGTGGGCCTTGGACTTCATGTGCTTGGTCAGATTCCCTGCAAACAGAAGAGGCAGCGAGGTGTCACAGGTGGGAAGAGCTGGAATGAAGGCAAAGAAGAGCTTTACATAACAGAGTGAGCTGCACGCAAAGGCTGAGTAACCAATGAAGACATTTTCAAACGAACGTGGGCTGCTGACTCTGAATACTGCTCTGCAGCGATGCGTAGGAAGCAAGTTTGTATTGGAGATGGAGGAGTGACATCAGTCTGCTGTGATGGTCATGTGCTGCTGCAGTGCATGCTCCGCCCATCAGGAGGCAGAAATGTGTTATTTTGAAACTTTATGAGTAAAAAATGTAGAAAGATGAGGCTGTTCAGAAAATGTAAAATGGTCAGAACTGATTTTGAGGTTCATTCAAGTCAAATTCCTGCATAAAGTTTATAGTTTTTCTTATTTAACCCTTTATAGAGCACTCGGTGAAACACTTTGAAAATAAAAAATTTCAAGCTAATAGTGTTAGAATCCAGGAAAATACCTTATTACCTTTCTAACAATAAAAAATATGGATATTTTGAAGGCAAAAGTGATTCTCAATGTAATAACGAGAAACACCAACTTGCCCAAATATGTTAAGAAAAATAACAAAAGTGCTTCTATAAGAATTCATGAAAAACACATTTTTTATTTTATAAACCTAAACATAATTGTTAACTAGGCTTATTAATTTTCTAAGTTTACATTTTAACTTTTCAATAAGCTTTTTACCTTTTTTTCTTGTTCA